CTGCATCTCCCACACAGCGAATCTACCACTGTGTAGAGTAGCTGCTTGATAAATGTTTACCAAACGGTGAAATAAGTATTTTTTTTAAAACAATAACATTCTAGGCACAAAGTCACAAAACACGAGGAATCTAGTCTGATTCCCAGTATCAGATAAACTGCTAAACTATAGTGTATGTAAGAATAAAACTGTGCTCACCAGAAAACTTAATGTTTATTTTGATGAATTTCTAATAGTAAAATAAATTACTTTAAAACACAATAAAGAAAAAAGCCAACACGCAAACGTTCCTGGGCTCAGGAAGCATGGTGCTTGGTGGGACGGTTAAAAGCTGTCAGCCCCCGAGGACAGGCAGGAAAGTCTCTGTCTATGGCCCCCTCACAGTAAGGCTGTGTTTTTTCAACACTTCTAACCCTTCTGCATAGGAATCTTGGAATGCTTTTTCTTTTCTTTTTTTTTTTTTTTTTTAAGAGACAAGGTCTCACTAGGTTGCCCAGGCTGGAGTGCAATGGCTATTCACAGATGTAATCCCACTACTGATCAGAAGGGGAAGTTTTAACCTGCTCCACTTCCAATCTGGACCAATTCACCACTCCTTAAGCAACCTGGTGGTCCACTACTTCTGGGAGGTCATCATACTGATGGCTGAACTTGGTGTAGTCTCTGGCACAGTGTGCCACAGCCCAGAACTCTGGGGTTCAAGCGATCCTTCCACCTCAGCCCCCTGAGTAGCTGGGCCTCCAGGCAAGCACCACCACACTGTCCTGGAATGCCTTTTTTTAAGTGTCTCAGTTCTCTTAGTTTTTGACAGTTCTCCGGTATTCTCAAGGTGATCATTTAACACCTCATTAACAAGTCTATTACTGGAATTAATTCAAATGAGCCAAACCTAATTTTAATTAAACCTCAATCTGCTCAGGGTAGTATTTTTTCTCCTACATCAGCTGCTCCCATGTGCCCAGTTCCTTTCAAAACAAAGAAGTACGAAACTCTGTGAAGTGTTCTGTCGTTATTTAAAAATTTATCTATTGGCCGGGCACGGTGGCTCACGCCTGTAATCCCAGCACTTTGGGAGGCTGAGGCGGGTGGATATGAGGTCAAGATATTGAGACCAACCTGGTCAATGTGGTGAAACCCCGTCTCTACTAAAGATACAAAAAATTAGCTGGGCATGGTGGCACGTGCCTTCATCCCAGCTACTCAGGAGGCTGAGGAAGGAGAAGTGCCTGAACCCAGGAGGTGGAGGTTGCGGTGAGCCGAGATCGCGCCATTGCACTCCAGCCTGGGTAACAAGAGCGAAACTCCATCTCAAAAAAAAAAAAAAAAAAAAATGTATCTATTAAAATGTACCTATCTAGCTAATTTGGTTCCATAATTTGGTTATTCTGGTTTAACATTCAACTATTCAAGCAATTTTACAATAAAATACTTGAAGAACCCACTGATTTTCTAGTATTTCCAATCATGCATGCATTTATGCGTGCATGCATTTATTCATTTGTTCATTCAATAAATTTATTGAAAGGATCCTAGATGTCACATACTAAGCTGGATGCTATGCATGTTATTAATTACATCTTTGAACGGAAGTAAAATACATCAAAGCACAGTTCTGGAAAATGGAAAAACAAAATTTCAGTTTATTTGGTCAAACAATTTTGGCTTGATTCTTAAGTAGATATTACAGCTAAATTCCATTAGTGGACATGGATTAGTGATGTATAAAATCAAAGATAGAATTTCAAATGTCTCACAGAATTTGTCAGAATTTCTCAGGACTCATTTTTTTTTCTACTCCCTGGCCTGTGCTAACTCAATATTCCGATTCCAGGTACAGGCATTCTGGCAGCACAAATCCCATTCATTATTATCTCACCTGGGATCCTAGTGAAGCTGCCTTTCAATATCTGTCAACCTAGTCACATATCCTGTTCTTCCTTGGGAAAAGGATAGAAACTGGAGGGGAAATGTGGAAAAGGTTGGGAGGAAGGGGTAAAGAGTGTCACAAAGTCACGTGGAAACTAGATCTCACTTTCCCTTGCATGCTGCAGCTTTTTCTGAAGGCTCTTCATTCACACAAAAAAGCAACATTTCTTCATACAAAAAGATGAAAACATTTAACAACAAGCAACTGCATGCTGTCTATGTATGTAAACACATACAAGCCTTACTTTCAATACCAGGTGCTTAATGTACTCTGGAACCCAACAATAACAAAGTTTTCATCATAAAAGTAATATATTCAGATATGGTTTGGATGTTTGTACTCTCGAAATCACAGGTTGGAAGGTGATCACCAATGATGGAGGTGGCGTCTGGTGGGAGGTGTCTGGATCATGGGGCAGATCCCTCATGAATGGCTTGCTGCCATCCTTAGGTAATGAGTGAGTTCTTGCTCTGAGTTGTCTCAAGATCTGATTATTTAAAAGAGAATGGTACTTCCCCCTTTTTTGACTCCATCTCAAAAAAAAAAGGTCACAAATTCTTTGACATGCCTCCATTGGGGAGGCAGAATCTAGCTCCCCATCCCTTCAATCTGAGATGGCCTTAGTGACCTGCTTGTTAACAACAGGTCAGAAAAGGTCATGGGGTTTGCACCAGGTTCTCTGAAATGCGTTTTCTCTGAAGCATCCTTTCTGGGTACCCAGTCACAATGTTATGAGGAGCCCAAGCCACATGAAAACGATACATGCATGAGGCTCTGGTCAACAGCCTCAGCTGAGCCTGGCTCCAAGTCACTCCAGCCCAGGTGACATGTAAGTAGAGAAGCCTCTGGATGATGCCAACCCCCAACCATCTCAGTCTTTCCAGACACTTGAGTTTTCCAAGTTAGTCCCAGACAAGGGAGCAAAGACAAGTCATCCCTGCTGTGCCCTGACCGAATTCCTGACATGTGGCATCTGTGAGCATAATCAGATGGCTGTTGTGTCACAGCACTAAACTTTGGGGTGGCAAGAGGCAAAAACTAGAAAACCGGTGCTGACCCAAACATCTAATTACCATGTTTCATTTTCTCACTACCAGCACAGCCCAGATTTCATCATTTAGTACAGATAAGTCATTTATCTGTAGGTAACGTGTCACACAGATCCACGTTCTAGAACAGGGCAGATATTTTCCAATATTAACTCTGATAGCTCTTAGACATTTCTTAGTCACCTAAACCTCTGTGCTCGATCAATAAAGTAAATGTGCCTATGTGAAGTAACTAGAAAAATGTTAGCTATATGTATACATATGTGTGTGTACATGTCTATCTCTCAGGTTCAAACTCACTATTTCCACTAACACCACATCAGAAGGAGAGGAGATAAAGTTATAATTATTACTAATAGGGAGCTAGTCAGAGGTTCCACGATGTGTTTACGACATTAATAAAACAACTTCTTCAGGGAATTAATTCACAAAACTGAAAATGATCACACTTCACTATTTCTAAAAATCTCTCATTAGAGAAAACAAGGATCTAGCACAGACGAGAAAAAATGTTAAGGCAAAATTCTGATTTAAGAAAACAGTCGGCCAGGTACACCAGCTCACAGCTGCTATCCCAGCACTTTGGGAGGCCAAGGCGGGTAGATCAGGAGGTCAGGAGTTTAAGACCAACCTGACCAAGTTGGTGAAAGCCCGTCTCTACTAAAAATATAAAAATTAGCTAGGCATGGTAGCAGATGCCTGTAATCCCAGCTACTCAGGAGGCTGAGACAGAGAACTGCTTGAATTCCCTCGAATTGCAACTTCAGGAGGCGAAGGTTGCAGTGAGCCAAGATTGTGCCACTGCACTCCAGCCTGGGCAACACAGGGAGACTCCTTCTCAAAAATAAAAAAGAAAGAAAGAAAGAAAGAAAAGAAAACAGTCAGCTGGGCATGGTGGCCCATACCTGTAATCCCAGCACTTTAGAAGGCCACGGCAGGCAAATCACTTGAGCCCAGTGGTTCAAGACTAGCCTAGGCAACATGGTGAAACCCCACCTCTACAAAAAAATTGGCCAGGTATGATGGCACACTCCTGTGGCCCCAGCTACTCGGGAGGCTGAAGCAGGAGAATCCTGTGAACCTGGGAAGCGGAGGTTGCCGTGAGCTTAGATCGCACCACTGTACTCCAGGTGACATGTGAGTTGAGAAGCTTCTGGATGATGGGTGACAGAGCAAGACTCTGTCTAGAAAAAAAAAAAAGAAAACGGTCTTAAACCAATCAAAAGGTATCACTTTATTCAATCCAAACCAAACCAATCTTACAACAAAGTATTACATAAATATACAGTGTAGAGCTCACGGCTGATAATGTGCAATCTTCTACAAATGCCAAACTGACTTTACAAGCATTACAAAAGCAACAAGTGAAATTATTGTCTCATAACGTGCAATGAAAACATTTTTTAAAGTAAAAATAGACAACCAATTGCTCCTCTTTACCACTGTTCTGCAGTCGATGCTGCCCTCTGGTGATGCAGAATCAAAGTCAAATGTCAGAAAGTGAACACAGCACTTTATTGTCCATAGTAGTATATCTAAGTCAAGGCATGTAGTTGGGACTACAAATCCCATCAAAGACAAAATAAACTGACTCAGGATGTCATTTATTATCTATGTGAAATCAGAAACTCTTTAAAAAGGCATTAAATCAGGAATACTAACATGAAAAAAGCAGCTCTTAACAACGCCGTTAATGAAACATCACTAACAATGAATTACATCCTCACATAAAATTATGCAATTCCAGAAAAACCCTGAAGCATATCACCTCTGAGTTGAGAGGGTATATAGGATAGTAAGAGTAAAGCCTCCCATCTATAAACAAGATTCCACAGGAAGTGAGCCAGGGTCATTCTCATGGCATATGTATCAAACATACTAAAAAGTGTCCATGGAAACCACAAACCAGTCAGCTTTGCCTATTAGTAAACCTGACTCTTTATTTTAGGAAAAAAACTCTATAAAAACAGCACCTTTGGCTGCTAACTGGACTTATGCAGTATTTCCAGAAAAGAAAGACTTACCAAGGCTGGTGCCATCCTGTCCCATGATACACTTCATCGAGGTGATGATCTGCTCCACTACGGGAGGTGACAGTGATGTGGCATACACTGCACTATGAGAATGTGTTCTCAGGTAGTCAATCAGCTCCTGGGGAATTCACAGAGGCAGATAAGTAGAGACAATTCTCGCATTCACCGGCAATGTCAGTGCTTTCCTTCGAAGTTCTACAGGACTCCTCACTTCAATGGCACTGGAATAGGGACACTAATACTGAGATGCATGGTAAACCAACATGGTCAAAGCATACTGCTGGCAACAACTAAGTCAGAAACATGGCAAAGTTCCTAGGTTTGGTTTTGTTTCTTAAACATGGAACAATATAGGAGAAAAACTAGTTTTAAAAAAATCCCTCTAAATTTGGAGACTTTATCATTTAAAGTTAAAAATATGGCTGGGCACAGTGGCTCAGGCTTGTAATCCTAGCACTTTGGGAGGCCGAGGTGAGTGGATCAACTGAGGTCAGGAGTTCAAGACCGGCCTGATCAACATAGTGAAACCCCATCTCTACTAAAAATACAAAAATTAGCTGTGTGTGGAGGCAGGCATCTGTAATCCCAGCTACTTGGGAGGCTGAGGCAGGAGAATCACTTGAACTCAGGAGGCGGTTACAGTGAACCCAGATTGCTCTCCAGCCTGGGTGACAGTGTGAGACTCTGCCTCAAAAAAAAAAAAAAAGTTAGAAATAAATGAACAGGGTTAAATATTTGGATTGTTTTTTAGATATATGATTTAATTCCAAGTATCACAGAAAGTGTCATCTGTAGCTTTCTCTGTTCTTGTAAAGCCCATCCTTATATCCCTAAATAACAGTTCTCTAACATCAACTTTAAGGGCATTAGAACTTCCCCCTGATATGCAGAGATGCATAAAGTGATATAAATGTGAAAGAAATTAAATGGAAATGTATAAGGTCTTTCATTAGAATGCCAATGACATCTCACTGAATAAAGTAAAACTCTGATTTACAAGAATCTCAAAAAACAATTGTATATCCCTACTCTCTGATACCTTTTGATTTTGCCAATCTTTAAAATGTGCACACAAGAAGCTTATGTACCAGAACAAATCTGGAAGACACAAAATGTGTTTATAAAACAGTTTTATCTCAAAAATACTAAAAGCTGTAGTTCAAAAAAAAACCCAAAAGCACAAATATATTGTACTTAATATTATCCCAGAGTATTATTTTTCTATCTTTTGGTTCACAGTCACAAAGACTACTAAAAAACAACTAACTCTCCAAAGTGAGCCTGGTTGCATTACCAAAAAGGTAAAATTTGAGATAAAAATCTATCAAACCTGATTAAAAGTCACTGAAAATGAGTTCTCTCTAAAAGGCAATCAATTATCAAAAGAATGACACCTTTTTTCTGAGACAGGGTCTTGCTTTGTTGCCCAGGCTGGAATGCAGTGATGTAATCATGACACACTGCATCCTTGATCTCCCAGGATCAAATAATCCTCTCGTCTCAGCCTCCCCTGTACCTGGGACTACAGGCATGTGCCATCACACCCAGATAATTTTTTTACTTTTTTGTAGAGATGAAGTCCCACTTCGTTGCCCAGGCTGGCCTTGAACTCCTGCGCTCAAGTCTTTAATCCTCCCATTCAGCCTCTCAAAGTGCTGGGATTATAGGCGTGAGCCACTGTGCCCAGCATACACATTCTTTAAGACTCCCAATATTGAGTTTTATAGCAAAATTAACGAGCACCTCCTCCATGATATATACAAATACCTGACATACATTATTTTTTCCCTAATGTTGCAGTCAATGTTTAAAAATAACAGCTTCATTGAGATATAAGCCATATACCACAGAATTCACCATTTTAAGGTACAACTCAGTGGTTTTTAGTATATCCAGAGTTGTGCCACTTTTACTACTAATTTTAGAACATTTCCATAACCCTGAAAGGAAACCTCATACCCATTAGCATTCACTTTCCATTTCCCCATCCCGTCCGCCCCCATCCCGTAATAATCTACTTTCTGTTTCTATGCTTATTCTAGGTATCACATATTTTAAAACGTGCAATATGTGACTAATTTTTTTCACTTACTATAATGTTTTTAAGGTACACCCATGTTGTAGCATGGACATATATTACTTTTTAAATCCTTACTACAACCTTACAAGCTAGCCATTTTTATCTCTATTTTACTGACAAGGAAACTGGAAGGTTAAATGCTTTCCCTAAGGTCTAACAAAGCAAGCAGAGAAATACTCACACCCTGCCTGTCCTTATGGTTCATCATATCCACCATGCCACACAGATTCTTAGTTGCATCAAAATTCACTATATGATTTTTTTTCTGACTCCAAAAACCCAGAAGACAACTACATAGTTTAAAAACTGAAAAATACAATGCTTTGTAGTACTCCAGAGCTGGCACAACCTTTTTCCTTCCTGTCTCCATGTCCACTCATGATACATTTGTGTCCAAGGGCAAGGTGACCCGCTATTCCCACGGGCTCCCATGACAACCCCACTGTTTTTGAAACTGTGAGCACAATGCAAACCCAAGAGAAGGCTGGGGCAAGCAGGGAGCACCACTGTGTGTTCTTTCACACAAGAGGGTATTCTATATTTCAGATCAGCATGTAGCTTAGAAAGAAGCTCAGTAAGGAAACAACAAACAATGAACAGAACTAGCCTTTAGTTCAGTGAGGAGACATTAGAGTCACTCATTAGTATTATGAGCCTAAACCACAGGCAAATTCGGGGATATTCCAGTTCAGGGCTCCATCTGCTAGGCATGAAGTACCAAATCTAGTTAACAGTAACTGTATCTCTAATCGCTCATTCTCATGGCTCATTTACCTTCTTGCCTCCAATGTATCCTCCAGAAGCACCAAAACTCTTTGTGAATGTTCCCATCATAACATCCACATCCTCAGGATCCAGGCCAAAGTACTCCACCACACCCCGGCCTGTGGGGCCCAAGGCCCCAATGCTGTGAGCCTCATCCAGATACAAGTATGCCTTGTATTTCTTCTTGAGGGCAATCACTTCAGGAAGGCGAACAATAGATCCTTCCATGCTGGCAAAACATGAAAAAAAATATATAAACACATATACACTGAGACTAACTGGGAGTCTGGCACTTCATCGAATTTACTACTTCTGTTTCTTTTTTTTCCTTTGAGACAGAGTTTCACTCTGTCATCCAGGCTGGAGTGCAGTGGCGCAATCTCGGCTCAATGCAACTTCTAACTCCCAGGTTCAAGTGATTGTCGTGCCTCAGCCTCTTAAATAGCTGGGACTACAGGCACGCACTACCACACCCAGCTAATTTTTATATTTTTAGTAGAGAGGGGGTTTCACATGTTTCCCAGGCTAGTCTCAAACTCCTGGCCTCAAGTGATATACCTGCCTTGGGCTCTCAATGTGCTGCGATTATAGGCATAAGCCACCATGCCTGGCTGAGTTTATTGGTTTTTAAATGGTCTGACCTGTGATTTTTTTTTTTTTCATTTTTTCTTTAACATGAAAACCTGAATAATGACCTGTGATTTTGTTTTGTTTTGTTTTTTTTAGACAGAGTCTCGCTTTATCGCCCAGGCTGGAGCGCAATGGCTCGATCTCAGCTCACTGCAACCTCTGCCTCCAGGGTTCAAGTTAGTCTCCTGTCTCAGCCTCCCGAGTAGCCGGGACTACGGGTGTGTGCCAACACACATGGCTAATTTTTAAAAATATTTAGTAGAGATGAGGTTTCACTGTGTTAGCCAGGATGGTCTTGATCTCCTGACCTCATGATCTGCCCAGTTGGGTCTCCCAAACTGCTAGAATTACAGGCGTGAGTCACTGTGCCCCGCCGCATCTGTGGTTTTAAACTGACAAAGGTAGATGACACCATGGTAAGGCAAAAGACTAGGGGAAAGGAAACTGGATATTTTAAAATAAGCACTGGCTGAGTATGGTGGCTCAGCAATTTGGAGGGCTGTAATCCCAGCATTTTGGGAGGCTGTAATCCCAGAAATTTGGGGGGCTGAGGTGGGTGGATCACTTGAAGTCAGGAGTTTAAGACCAGCCTGGCCAAAATGGTGAAACCCCATCTCTACTAAAAATAAAAAAAATTAGCTGGGCATGGTGGCGCACGCCTATAATCCCAGCTATTCAGGTGGCTGAGGCAGAAGAATCAGGAGGTGGAGGTTATAGCGAGCTGAGATTGCGCCACTGCACTCCAGCCTAGGCAACAGAGTGAGATCCCATTTCAAAACAGAAAAACAAAAAAACCCACCAGTAACAACCAAAAACACAAGCACCAAACACGAGCAATCTTAGTTCATGACAAAAAGAATTACATTCACGGCAGATTCTTCTAAAGCTTGTAACTACAGGCAACATGTGACTTTGCAACACATTGCACAGGCAATTAAAATGACACAAAAGAACAAAAAAAATTAGGTGGTAAAATATGTGTAAAAGCTGTAAAGGTTGGCTGGGGCGCAGTGGCTGACGCCTGTAATCACAGCACTTTGGGAGGCTGAGATGGGTGGATCATGAGGTCAGGAGCTTGAAACCAGCCTGGCCAACATGGTGAAACTCTGTCTCTACTAAAAATACAAAAATTAGCTGCACATGGTGGCATGCGTCTGCAATCCTAGCTACTTGGGAAAATGAGGCAAGAAAATTGCTTTAACCTGGGAGGCGGAGGTCGTGATGAGCCGAGATCGCGCCGTTGCACTCCAGCCTAGGTGACAGAGTGAGACTCTGTCTCAAACAAAAAATAAAAATAAAAACAAAAATATTTTATTTTGGTTAACCTTTACAGCTTTTTTTTTTTTTTTTAAATGGCGTCTTGCTCTGTCGCCAGGCTGGAATGCAGTAACCCAATCTTGGCTCACCGAAACCTCTGCCTCCCAGGTTCAAGTGATTCTCCTGCCTCAGCCTCCCAAGTAGCTGGGACTACAGGCATGTGCCACAACAACCAGCTAATTTTTGTATTTTTAGTAGAGATGAGGTTTTATCATGTTGGCCAGGATGATCTCAATCCCTTGACCTCGTGATCTGCCCGCCTTGGCCTCCCAAAGTGTTAGGATTACGGGCGTGAGCCACTGTGCCCGGCCTATTTATTTAATTTTTATAGAGACAGGCTTTCACTATGTTGCCCAAGCTGGTTTCGAACTCCTAGCCTCAAGCAACCTCCCACCTTGGACTTCCGAAGTGCTGGGATTACAGGTGTGAGTCACTGCACTCAGCCTAAAATATTTATTAAAGTTAACTGACGTATAATTTGTTTTGACATACTAAAATACATATTCGAGTCTTTGCCCCTACATATAAGTTCCCTCTACAAACTGGAAAAATAAAAGACCCAAACAGAAAGGGTATTTGGGGACTATGTAGTATAATGGAAATAAAGAAGAAGAAGACAAAAAGACTTCTGTTCTAATGCTGACTCTGTTTCCAGGTATTTTAGTGACTTATAAACACTGTCTCCTCAGTTTTCAGAGAAGGCTAGAGTACTGTTCCCTTCAGTTAAAAAGTTCTATGACTTAATGGGCCCAGCTCACAAAGGTAAGAATAATAAAGCAGGGTTACCTATATATTCCTTCCACAAGGATTAGAATTTTCTTCCAGGGCCTTCGTGTCCGAGGCTGACCATAAACAATGGCATCTTTCAATAGCTTCTCTAGGCTTTGCATGTCTACAGCATACAAAAAAAGAACAGTCACAGAGCATCTTCTTCATTCCTAACTTTATTCCAGAAATGCAGAGATATATTTCTCATTCAGAAAGTACACCTCAGATAGCAAAGGACATAATTAGAATTGGGCAGAAAAAAGCAAGGCAAGTAGGTGAGTTATTGCCACTTTGAATTGAAATCCAAAAGGTAATGTTCGAAACCATTGAAACTTGACTAAATGACTGTGGTGGTTGATTCAGTTCATCAGCTTGCTTATAAAATGACCAATGTCTCATGTTGAATACCCTGCCATTAAGTTAGCTTTTTTGTGTTAATCAAAAAATACACAATCAAACTGTATAGCTAATCCTAGTGAGTCATTCAGAAAAAAAATGCATAAAAGAGCAAAAAAGTGTGATAAACCATCACACACACACATATACCTCCTAAAAAACAAATGCAAGGGGTAAAAAATTTCACAGTGCACGCTCCATTTCTTTTCACCTAGGATGTACTCAATAAATGCTTGTTAAAGAGCTTTATTTTGGTACTAGGTTAAAAATACACCCATCTAAAAAAAAACACATCCATCTAAGGCATGTATGAGTCTATGTGTTAAGCAAGCTTTATAATCAGTTGATACTGTTCCATGTTTGACTTCATCCGTTGTCTATAAACAACCAAGATCTTGTGGTTCTGTTGGTTCTTACGATGGTTAATGGGCCTGGAAAGAACTGGGCTACTACTGCCACTACTGATGATCATAATTTCCTTGTTAAGGACAAATGCTTTGCAGACCATTGCAGCCACACTACTTATTTCATACTTAAAATACTTGCCCTGAAATGAAGTCCTTAAAAAAAAAAAAGAAAAAAAACTCCCCCAAATTTAAGCAACATTAAGTGTGCGGAATACTTAATAGGGGTGGGAGACATTCATCATAAAATCTTTTTTCTGTTTGAGACGGAGTCTCCCTCTGTCGCCCAAGCTGGAGTGCAATGGGATGATCTCAGCTCACTGCAGCCTCTGCCTCTCAGGTTCAAGTGATTCTCTTGACTCAGCCTCTTAAGGAGTTGGGATTACCAGCACCCACCATCATGCCCAGATAATTTTTGTATTTTTGTAGAGATGGGGTTTCACCCTGTTAGCCAGGCTGATCTTGAACTCCTGACCTCAGGTGATCTGCCTGCCTCGGCCTCCCAAAGTGCTGGGACTACAGGTGTTAGCCACTGTGCCCGGCCCTATCATAAAATCTGATTTTGTATTCTGCATTGCTTATCATTGGAGGAAGGGATTATAAAACTACATGGTTTTGCTCTTTGCAAAAAACAATTTTGACAGAAAAAGAAATAAGGTAATAAAAACACAAAACACAAACACAAATAAGACAGCCTAAGGTTGTGACTGTGCTTAAACATTCAGTAATTTTTAAGAAAAAATCTGCATACGACCTAACCAAGATGCAGGAGATGTTCCCCACAGAAGTAAATATGTCCTGACTCAAAGCCTCCCGTTTTTTCTTTCTTTCTTTTTGAGACAGTCTCACTCTATTGCCAAGGCTGGAGTATAGTGTTGTGATCTCTGCTCACTGAAACCTCCGCCTCCCAGATTCAAGTGATTCTCTGGCCTTAGCCTCCTGAGTAGCTGAGATTACCTGTGCCTGCCACCACACCTAGCTAATTTTTGTATTTTTATTAGAGGCGGGGTTTCACCATGTTGGCCAGAATGGTTTCGAACTCCTGTCCTCAGGTGATTCACTTGCCTCGGCCTCCAAAAGTCCTGCAAAGCCTTCAGTTCTCAGACAGAGAGCAATGTACGGCAATCAGCTGAAGGCAACTAAAAATGTATGAATTATTTTAGCTTTCTATGTTTACATACAGAAGGAGGAGAAAATAATACTGGTCAAAATTTTAGATAAAAGAAGTATCAGCCAGGTGTGGTGGCTCATGCCTTTAATCTCTGTACTTCGGGAGATCGAGGTGGCACTTAACGTCAGGTTTAGCCAACATGGCAAAACCCCATCTCTACTAAAAATACAAAAACATTAGCTGGGTGTGGTGGTGTTATCCTAGCTACTTGGGAGGCTGAGACATCAGAATCACTTAAACCCAGGAGGCTGAGGTTGCAGTGAGCCGAGACTGCACCACTGCACTCCAGCCTGGGTGACAGAGTGAGACTCCGTCTCAAAAACAAACAAAAATAAGTATCTATAGCAGAATGCTTAACCATATTACCTACTTAGAAAAAAAAAATTCAACCTCTCTCCAATGTCATACCCCCAAATTCCACATAAATTTATTTATTTATTTATTTTTATTATTATTAGTTTTTTTATATATATAGAAACTAGGTTTCACCATGTTGGTCAGACTGGTCTGGAACTCCTGACCGCAGCTAATCCACCCGCCTCGGCCTCCCAAAGTACTGGCATTACAAGTTTGAGCCACCGCGCCCAGCCCACATAAATTTAAATAAAAATATACTGCAAAACTCCCAGAAGAAAGTAGGAGAGAATAATCTTATGATCTGAGAATGAGGAAGGTATTGTATAAAATCCAAAAGTCATAAAACAGTAAGTGTGGCAACAAAAACACTTTAATGAGTCTGCACAGCAAGACACTGAAAACCAACTAAAAAATATAAAAATAGTGCAGTCTGGGCATGGTATATAACTCCTGTAATCCCAGAATTTTGGGAGGCTGAAACCAGAGGATCCATTGAGTCTAAGAGTTCAAGACCAACCTGGGTAACACAGGGAGACTTCATCTCTACAAAAAATAAAAAAACTAGCCCAGTATAGTAGTGCATGCCTACAGTCCCAGCTCCTCAGGAGGCCGAGGCAGAAGAATCATTTGAGCCCAGGAGGTCAAGGCTGTGGTGAGTCGAGTTTGTGCTACTGCACTCCAGCCTTGGTGACAGAGCAAGACCCTGTCTCAAAACAAACAAACAAACAAAAAGCAACATAAAGGAAAAAATATAAAGGGCTCCTATAATCAGTAAAAAATAGAAACAATTTGAAAATGGCCAATTTATAAAGTAAGATACATAAACACATTAGCTCACAAGTAGGGTTTAAAAAACAGATACAATAAAAATGTTAAAAGTTACTCTATACCTAATAAATAATGAAATAAAAAATAACATATTATTTCCTCATTAGATCTGGAAAGATTTAAAATAATTCACTGTAGTCTATGTTGGCCAGTGAGTAGAAACGGTTGATCTCACGTTGTTGAGTAAAAATTCATATAAGACACAAGCATGTGTATGTTCATTGTAGCACTATTCACAACAGCAAAGACATAGAATCAACCTAAATGTCCATTAACAGCAGACTGAATTAAAAAAATGTGGAGCCAGGCACAGTGGCTCATGCCTCTCGGCACTGGGCAGCCGAGGTGGGTGGATTGCTTGAGCACAGAAGTTCAAGACCAGCTGGGGCAACATGATGAAACCCCATCTCTACAAAAAATCAAAACAACAACAACAAAAAAGCCTGGCCAGGCGTGGTGAAACGCAACTGTAGGTCTAGTTACTAGGGTGGCTGAGATGAGAGAATCGCTTGAACTGCAGAGGTGGAGGTTGCTGTGAGCTGAGTTCATGCCAATGCATGCCAGCCTGGGTAGCAGAAAAAGATTCTGTCTCAAAAAATAAAATTTTGTATATATTAGGTACATATACACCATGAAATACTATGTAGCCATAAAAAAGAATGAAATCATGTCCTTTGCAGCAACATCGATGTAGCTGGAAACCATTATCTAAAGCAAACTAACATAGAAACAGAAAACCAAATACCACATGTTCTCACTTATACGTGGGAGCTAAACATTGAGTACATACAGACAAGAAGAAGGGAACAACAGACACTGGGGCCTACATGAGGGTGAGCCAGGGAGGATGGTAAGGATTGAAAAACTACCTATCAGGTACTATGCTGATTACCTGGGTGACGAAATAATCTGTACACCAAACCCCCGACACATGCAATTTACCTATATAACAAACATGTACCACTGAACCTAAAATAAAAGTGAAAAAAAAAGTTCATACAATGCTTAGAGGAATTTGGAAAAGTATTAAAAATATATACTCTTTTAACTACGCATTCTGAGACTGCTAGAAATTTATTCTAAGGCACTAACCAGATGATTGTACGAACCTGTGAGTGTAGTGCTGTTTCCAGTAGAAAAATGTAGAAAGAACCTTAATGTCAAACTGAGGGGGTAATTAAATGAGGGCACATACAGGCACGGACTGCCACACTGGCATGAAAGAATGAAGTAGAGTCACATGTACTGACAAACAATAATCACAGTATATCGTGGAAAAAAAAAAAAGGCCAGGTGGGATGGCTCATATCTGTAATCCCAGCACTTTGGGAGGCCAAGGCAGGCGGATCAACTGAGGTCAGGAGTTCAAGACCAGCCTGGCCAACACAGTGAAACTCCACCTCTACTAAAAATACAAAAAGCTAGCCAGGTGTCATGGCATGTGTCTGTAATCCTGGCTACTGTGGAGGCTGAGGCAGGAGAATCACTCAAACTCAGGAGACGGAGGTTGTAGTAAGCCAAGATTGAGCCACTGAACTCCAGCCTGTGTAACAGAGCGAGACTCTAGTCTCAAAAAATAAATAAATAAATAAAATAGGTTATGACACAGATATGTTTAATAAAATCTCATTTCTCACTATAAAACATTTTAGAAAAGACAAAAACAAAAACAAAGGCAAAAATGATGTTATCATCTATGATCCTTCCATCCAGGGGTACACACCTAACATTTTGGTACACATTCCTCCAAACTTTTTTCTGTACCTATCTGTACACATTTTGGGATAAGATGATATTAAACATAGAATTTGGTAATCTTTTCTGCCTATGTGTGTGCTTTAACTATGAAAGTTATGCATTTTTATTATAAATCATTTTAATAATACATAGATATTTCTACTTAGGGAGAAGATGTTTGGCTCAGTGCCACCCTCCTCTGTGCTCCCATAGCATCTACTCATATCTGTACTTCAGCGTCTGTCTACTGTATTGTAAGCACTAGCTTATCTATTAAGCCTCTTTATTAACCAGTCAGAGATCTTAATTTATTCATCTAAATACCCCTAATCTTATGGCAAGATATTCTGTAAGCATCTAGCAATGTATTTGAGCAAGGGACTTGTAAACAAGGAAATGGGATGGAAAACTTGAAGGTCAAATAAAAGAATAGTATTATATCTGTATAAAAAAAAGGCTTCCTTCAGGCCGGGCGTGGTGGCTCACGCCTATAATCCCAGCACTTTGGGAGGCCGAGACAGGTGGATCACGAGGTCAAGGATCGAGACCATCCTGGTCAACATGGTGAAACCCCATCTCGACTAAAAATACAAAAATTAGCTGGGTGTGGTGGCGTATGCCTGTAATCCCAGCTACTCAGGAGGCTGAGGCAGGAGAACTGCCTGAACCCAGGAGCTGAGGCTGTGGTGAGCCGAGATCGCACCATTGCACTTCAGCCTGGGGTAACAAGAGCGAAACTCTGTCTAAAAAAAAAAAAAAAAAAAAAAAAAGGCTTCCTTCAATGTCTAATTTTAAAAGACTGGACCAACCAGAAGAACATTTTAAATGTTGCTACTTCAGCTCCATTTATGTTGTCAACTGCAAATATAACTAATATTAACCCCAACATGGATCCAAAGAATAGTCAACACCAAGGCCAGCAGTGAATTCTGCAGCAAACTCACTGTTGTGTTTGAAGATTCGAATGGTTGCTCCTGACAGTCTGGCTCCCAGAACCAGTGATGCATGGTTCAGTTCATCACTCAGAATCAGGCAACCCTGCAATATCACAAGAACAGGAAGGTAAAAAGCTGGAGGGGAAAGGGTTAGTTACACAAATCACAAAATGCCACAAGCACTATTAGCCGTATCTTATTAAGGAAATTGTGCACAACAGTAAAGTGATCAATTTTAAGAGGAAAAAAAAAGCATACATGATGATTTGGTTTTTGTAAAGACACCTTAAAAGTAGATGTGAAATTCTACCCTTTTAATTTAATATCTTCATTGATGTAAATATTCAGATATATGGCAACAGATCTTTATTTATATCTAAAATCTGACACGTTAGTCTCTAAAACATTTTTGGTTTCTTTACCTGAGAGAATTCCATGTAGTTTTAGTATAGTGTTCTGTTTCTCTGTGGGAAAATGCAGCGGATGGGGTCATGTCTGTAACGGTGTATTCTCACACTACCGCTCATACCTAGAGTTCAGGAAATTATCCTAATTACTAACCTTTTCCCCACATTACATGGACTGTAGGCTTCAGTTTTGTCTTAAAAATCCCCAAACAAGGCCGGGAGAGGTGGTTCACGCCTATAATCCCAGCATTTTGGGAGGCCGAGGCGGGTGGATCACGAGGTCAAGAGATCAAGACCATCCTGGTCAACAAGGTGAAACCCCATCTCTACTAACAATACAAAAATTAGCTGGGCATGGTGGCACGCGCCTGTAGTCCCAGCTACTCGGGAGGCTGAGGCAGGAGAATTGCTTGAAAACCCAAGAGGCGGAGGTTGCGGTGAGCCGAGATCGCACCATTGCACTCCAGTCTGGGTAACAACATCAAAACTCCATCTCAAAAAAAAAAAAAAAACCCAAACGAGCTTTACTTTAACATACAAACATGGGTTTCTGCTAAGGCAATAAGAAAACACTGAAGCTCTCAGTTTGTTTTTCTTTTCACTGTAGTTCTTATTCTTCCATCTCTCAGGGAACCCTTCAACCTGTCAGACTGGAACTCAGAAACAGGTTTTTCTCTGTCAAGAATAGCCTCAAAATATCCAATTAGATGAAAAAGGTGCAGAAAGCATACAGCATGCTTCCATGAGAATAAAAAAAAAAAGAAAAGATACACAGACACACAGTCATCCCTCAGTCTGCAGGAGGACTTGGTTCCAGAACCACCTCACCCCCACGTATATCCAAATCCATGCACACTCATGTCCTGAAGTTGGCCCTGTGGGACCTGCTTATATAAAAAGTAAGCCCTCCATATACTTGGTTTTTGTGTTCCATGAATTGTGTGTGTCTGTCTGACTGTGTGTGTGTGTGTGTGTGTGTGTGTGTGATGGAATCTCACTCTTGTCATCCAGGCTGGAGTGCAGTGGTGCAATCTTGACTCACTGCAACCGCTGCCTCCTGGGTTCAAGCGATTTTCCTGCCTCAGCCTCCCAAGTAGCTGGGATTACCATCACCCGCCATCATGCCCGACTAATTTTTTTATTTTTAGTAGAGACAGGGTTTCACCGTGTTGGCCAGGCTGATCTTGAACTCCCGACCTCAGGTGATCCACCCGCCTCAGCCTCCCACAGTGCTGAGATTACAGGCGTGAGTCACCGTGCCTGGCCAAATACTATATTTTTTATCCATAATTGGTTGAAAAAAAAAATCAATGTAAAAGTGAACCTGCATAGTTTAAACCCATGTTGTTCAAGGGTCAACTGTATATATACATGCTTATTTATTACAGAATGTTCTTTTTTAAAATTATTTTATTACAGAATATTCTTAAAGGAATACTTAAGAAACTTGTAACAGTAATTGTGTTTGAAATTTTTATTATGCACATAACACTTAGTAAGATAAAAAAAGCTGGCTAAAAATGTACAGATTAAATATCTGAAGTGGCCAGGCATGGTAGCTCATGCCTCTAATCCCAGCACTTTGGGTGGCCAAGGCAGATGGATCACTTGAGGTCAGGAGTTTGACACCAGCCTGGCCAACATGGCAAAACCCTATCCCTACTACTAAAACAAAACAAAACAAAACAAAATTAGCCGGGTGTGGCGGTGGGCACCTGTAATCCTAGCTACTCAGGAAGATGAGGCAGAAGAATCGCTTGAACCCAGGAGGGGGAGGTTTCTGTGAGCCAAGACTGTGCTACTACACTCCAGCCTGGGCGACAGGGAGATTCTGTCTGGGGGGAAAAAAAAGGAGGAGGAGGAGAAAGGAGGAGGAGGAGAGTTGGCAGTATCAATATAGATTCCTGGCTTTCAAATCTTTATGCAAATACACAGAGAGAAAGAGAGATGTATTAGCATACATACATACATTTTCTAGCTCTAGTCACTGAGAGGTGAGAAGCAGTGACACTCCTGCAGCAATAAACACACCTAATTCCCAGGCCTTGGTTTCTAAATACTATTCTCCAATAAAAAGAACCAGGGCTTCTTTGAGAACTGGTTAATTCCAAAACTGGGATAGGGAAAATATAAGCTAATCCTGGAGTATTTTATCATGTCAGAAAGTATGAGAGTGCTTAAAAAAAAAAAAAAAAGTTGTTACATATTCAAAGGACACAGGTACCCACCTGAAGGAGCTCCCAATGGCCAAAACTAAAACTCGAGCAACAAAAAAGAAGCAATTGTGTTGAATTATAACCCAAATAGTAAAAAATTCACAAACCCATGATACAAATAAATAAGGGAAAAGCAAGAACTCTTCCTTACACAAAAATTCTAATTAATAAGTATAGAAGAAATGAGGAAAAATAGAAAAATCACTATTAGAACACCAAGGTAATATAACTGCCACTGGCAAGACCAGAAAAGCATACTAAAGTTAGTGGGTGAAAGTTTAATCTGAAACGCTATATATAGTTCCCCAAAGTATCTCTGCCACAATAGATGGTGAGTACAAAGGGAAAAGCAGTAAGTTGGTGGCAGAAAATCCCGCTGACACCTGAACCAAGTGATTCAGATTTACATCATCAATAACATGTATCGAAACCACATAATCTCACATGATTCACTAAGAAGGAAATCACTTCTGTAGTAGCTTTCTCAGGAACACATGGGCTCAGTCAAACCATAACAACATAGCACACAGACCCAAATTAAAGACATTCTACAAAGTAAATGACCAGTACCCTTCAGAAGTGTCAAGGTCATGAAAGATAAAGAAAAACAGAAACTAAGCCTGTAATCCCAGCACTTTGGGAGGCCGAGGGGGGTGGATCACGAGGTCAAGAGATCGAGACCATCCTGGTCAACATGGTGAAACCCCGTCTCTACTAAAAAAATACAAAAAATTAGCTGGGCATGGTGGCGCACGCCTATAATCCCAGCTACTCGGGAGGCTGAGGCAGGAGAATTGCCTGGACCCAGGAGGCAAAGGTTGCGGTGAGCCGAGATCACGCCATTGCACTCCAGCCTGGGTAACAGCAGCAAAACTCCGTCTCAAAAAAAAAAAAAAAAAAGAAAAGAAAAGAAAACTATCCCAGATTGGAGGAGAACTAGGAGCTACAAAAGCTAAAGGCAATGTAGATCCTCACCTGGATCCTGAAGTGGAAAAAAACATCAGTGAAAAACTGGTGAAACCAAATACATCTTGTACCGTAGTTACAGTACTGTATCACAGTTAATTTCTTAGCTGTAAGAAATGGTTCCACTGTTATGTAAGATGTTAACATAAAGAGAAGCTGAATGAATAGTATACCAGAACTCTCTGTACTCTTTTGTAACTCTTTCACAAGTCTAAATTTAAGTTTCAAAAAAGTTTTAAAATTGAAAAAAATGAAACTGGGGAGAAAATAAAGAGAGGTCAGCTTTCTCTTCAGCAAGTCTTCAATATTTTTTACTTACCACTCTTGGCAATCAAATATATCTTAAAAAGAACTCTCCCTTGCCTTCCCCTCCACACAAAATTTTGTTTTCTCCTCTTTCCAGCTAACAGTTTTCCAGCAAATCTGCAAAAGCATTATGCTCTTTTTTCTGGCAAAAAATAACTCTTTTTAGACAGCCTTATTCACCATTTCAATATATCAATCTGTCCCTTTGAAACTATTCTGAAGCTTTATTAAATCTTTGGTTCAAAAATAAAATAGATATTAATAACAGCAGTTGACATCTAAGGACTTAATGTTTCAGGCATCATGTTAAAAGATTTAAATGCATTATTACTTTTAATCCTCATAATAACTCTATGTAGTAGACACTTTCATCACTCGCACTATACATATGAGAAAACTCTTGTTCAGGAGTTTAAAATCTTGCCCAAGGTCATAAGCACAGTAACAAAATAGTTATTAAATAATACAAACGTCTGCTTCTAGAACCTATTCTCTTCATTAATATACTGCTCCACCCTGCTGTTAAACTGAGCAATCAACCACTTCACATTGAAATTTAGTATGAGATTCAAAGAATCATTAAAACTGGATAAGTTATTGTCTTTAACAGATTAAACGATATATTTTTTTAAATAATTATTTTTTTATTTTATTGATTAAACAATATTTAATGGTATTTCAACTATAGTTTGATTTGGAATATAAATCTTTATGGTTGTACTTTCCTGGTCTATGTAGAAAATGTCTAATTCTAGAGAATTCTTTGTTAGAGTTTGCAAGTATACAGAGAGAACAGCAAGATGAGATTCTTTAATCCTCTAGTGTTAAAAATTCTAACAAGAATCTCAGGTTTGTACTTTTAAAATGCAGAACAGCAATGTATTGTAATGTGAAGGAATTTTATTTATTTAATCTAAGTTATTGAATTTATTGGCATGGAGTTGTTCTTTCTTTTTTTTTTTTTTTTTTTTGAGACAGAATCTCTCTCTGTTGCCCAGGCTGGAGTACAGTTGTGCGATCTGAGCTCACTGCAAACTCCGCCTCCCAGGTTCAAGCAATTCTCCTGACTCAGCCTCCCAGATAGCTGGGATTACAGGCACGCACCTCCACGTCCGGCTAATTTTTTTGTATTTTTAGTAGAGACAGGGTTTTACCATGTCGGTCAGGCTGATCTCGAACTCCTGATCTCATGATCCACCTGCCTCGGCTTCCCAAAGTACTGGGATTACAGGTGTGAGCCACCCCACCTGGCCTGAAGTTGTTCTTAATATTCCCTTATTATCCTTTAATGCCCATAGGATTTGTAGTGATGTCCCCCTCTCTCATTCCTGTTACTGGTAATATGCATCTTCTCTCTTATCCTAAACGTTCTGGCTGGAGATTTATCAATTGTATTCATTTTCTCAAAGAATCAGCTTTGGTTTCACTGATTTCCCTATTGTCTATTTTCTAATTAATTGATTTTTGCATTTATCATCGTTATATTCTTCCTTCTGCTTAGTTTGGGTTTAATTTTTCTCTTTTTCTAATTTTTTAAGCTACAAGCTTTACATTTTTTATAATGCAGGTTGAATATCCCTTATTCAAAATGCTTGGGACCAGACGTGTTTCGGAGTTCAGATTTTTGTGGATTTTGGATTATTTGCATTATATTTACTGGTTTAGCACCCCTAAGCATTTTCTTTGTGCTGTCATGATGACACTCCAAAAACTTACCAGTTTGAAACATTTTAGATTTTGCATTTTAGGATTAGGGATGCTCAACCTGCATAAACATTTAATGCTATACATTTCCATCTGAGCATTACTTTAGCTTCATCCTACAAATTGTAATAGGTTAAATTTCCATTTAGTTAAAAATATTTTTATTTTCCCTTGTTTTTTCGTTGTTGGCCCATGAGTTATTTTGAAGGATATTGTTTAATTTTCAAATATTCAAAGATTTTCCAGAACTCTCTATTATTAATTTCTACTCTAAATTCCACTGTGATCAGAGAACATACTTTGAATAATTTTAATAATTTTAAATTGACTAAAACTTGCTTAATGGCCTAGACTACATTATTGTCTTTCGTAGTAAATGCTTTGCTGTTGTTGAGTGAAGTGTTTCATAACTCTCAATTACATCAAGTGGTTGACAGTGTCTTCCAAATATGTTCTATATCATTACTGATTTTCTGTTTCATTCTGTCAATTAAGAGAGAGGTGTTAATGTCTCTAATTACAATTTTTTTATTTGTCTACTTTTAATTTCATCAATTTCTGCTTCATGTACTTTGAAGCTCTGTTATTAACCCATTTATACCAGAAGTTGCAATTTTTTGAATTGCAACATCAGACCTTGGCAATGAATGACCTTGAGCAGTAAGATACAAATAACTCCCACATGCTTAGCATTCCAATAATGGAACACTAGGCATAAATGGGCTAAGCATCTATACATTTAAAATTATATCCTCTTGATGAATTAATTCCTTAATTATTACACAACGTTTCTCTTTATCACCAGAAATATTTCTTGCTCTGAATCTTTGTTTATATTAATACAGGTACTTCAAATTTCTTCTGATTATTATTTGCATACTATATTTTTTCTATCCTTTTCCTTTTAACCTGTGTCTTCACATTTAAAATAGGTTGCTATTTTATATTAGGAAACCTACTTAATTTTATCTGACAATCTTTGTCTTCTCATTGAAATGTATAAACCATTTATATTTAATGTTTATCAATACAGGTGTGTTTAAATCTATCTTGCTGCTTGTTTTCTATTTGTCCCATCTGTACCTTAGGGACACTGCTTAGTTTGGGTTTAATTTGTTCTTTTTCTTCTAATTTTTTAAGCTACAAGCTTTACATTTTTTCTAATACAGGTTGAATATCCCTTATTCAAAATGCTTGGGACCAGATGTGCATAAATAAAAAGGACTTTAGAGTTCATCTAACTCAACCACCTCATTTTACAAAAGAAACTCTGAGGATCAGAAAGAATATCTGACATACTCACAGTCGCAGAGCTAAATAACAAAAACTCAATTCTCCTGCTTGAGTTAACCTACCATGTTTTCAATATACCATTCCTAGATGTTATGTTATACATGAGAATAAATAACCTCAAAGGACCTTTCAGGATGAGAGTACCAATCGGCTGAAATGTAATTTATATTTACATACAGATTGTGCCCGCTCACATGTGTTACCCACTGTGGGTATGTATATATCATATTATATATACATATATAATAAAGTTATTATAGTGTTTATATATTATATATAACATGTTTACATATAAATATTTTTATATATTATACATAAATATATACAATTAAATATGTAAATACACACACACATATACATATATAGAAAAATTTCTAAATATATTGGCTGGGCACGGTTGTTCACACCCGTAATTCCAGCACTTTGGGAGGCCAGGGCAGGTGGATCCCCTGAGGTCAGGAGTTCGAGACCAGCCTGGCCAACATGGTGAAACCCCAACTCTACTAAAAATACAAAAATTAGCCGGACGTGGAGGTGGGTGCCTGTAATACCAGCTACTTGGGAGGCTGACACAAGAGAATTGCTTGAACCTGGGAGGTGGAGGTTGCAGTGAGCCAAGATTGCACTGCAATAGCACTCCCACCTGGACAACAGTGAAACTCCATCTCAAAATAAATAAATAAATAAATAAACAAACCTAAGCAACATGTATTGCAGTAAATCAACTATTAGGGTAACTACATATTTTCATATTTTTCTACTTAGAAAAAACTATCTGTTAAAAAAATTTTCCAAATTAAACCTTCTTTCTTTAATAAGCTTAGTCTTTTCCAAGTTTTTATTTATCCAACTTCCTTCAGATATAAAGAATCAGCTCATGGAAGACATAAGGGTCACAGGTTCTAGTAAGAAAACTCCAACTGATGAATATCCATGGGATATACCTGTCTAAAAATTTGTAATATGGCTGGGCATGATGGCTTATGTCCATAATCCCAGCACTTTGGGAGGCCAAGGCAAGGAGGATCCCCTGAGCCCAGGAGTTCGAGACCAGCCCAGGCAACACAGTGAGGCCTCATCTCAATTTTACTATTTTTTTTTTTCATGAAAAACAATTTGTGTCTAGGTGTGGTGGCTCACATATGTAATCATAGCACTCTGGGAGGCCAAGGTGGGGTGATCACCTGAATTCAGGAATTCGAGACCAGCCTGGCCAATATGGTGAAACCCCACCTCTACTAAAAATGCAAAAAATTAGCCGGGCATGGTGGTGCATACCCGTGGTCCCAGCTACTCGGGAGACTGAGGCAGGAGAATCATCTGAACATGGGGGACAGAAGTTGCAGTGAGCTGAGACAGCACCACTGCACTCCAGCCTGGGCAACAGAGCAAGACCCCGACTCAAAAAAAAAAAAAAAAAAAAAGGAAAAAAACCAATTTATGATAGAAATATCATCTTTGGCTAAATTATGTTTAGTCTAAAGTTTACAACAGCTTTCAGCTCACTCTGAATGCTTTTCAAAACAAAAGAAGATATATATGAGGGAGTTTTCAAAAATGACAGTGTCTTACTTTGCCAACAAGAGCAGGAATGTTCATTGAATTCGTTGCAAATCCCATGCCATACGCCATAGCAGCTTCTACTCCTAAGAACCTTGCTACAAGCTCCTCCAGTTCTTCATGTTTGTCCAGGTTTCCTGTGTGAAGAAGTCAATAAAGGCAACATCACAACATCCTGAATTTAAGAATTACTTAGCACTTTATTAATAAAGAAATCATAGTGTATGTGTTGTGTCCTTTTCAGACTAAGATCTATGAAGGAGTCAATTGTATGAAGAGTGACGGCTCATAAAGAACAAAATAATTGAATAAAATCTGATTTAGCACCTGCAGTGGAATTTCTCCAAAGGGGGTTGCCAATTATTTCTCCCATTCCTGTTTATGCATACCAGTTCCAGCTCTAGGCCTTAGAAGGGCCTAGCAAAATCTGCGTTTACACTTTTGAAGTCAGCTGCCACGTCAAACAGTCTAACTGGCCTATTGTAAAGATAGAACATGGGCGGAGGGAAGGGGAGACTGGAGGATAACAGACTATGGAAGGAGGAGAGAAAGACGTAAGGAGTTGGGGAGACAGAGAAAGAGAGATAGAAACAGGGAGATGCCCAGTCAGGCCTTGCCCTTCCTGACACCCAGCTGAGGTGTCAAACATGTGAGTTGAGACATCTTGGATGCTCTATACACAGTCATAATTGCCTACCCAATACCACATGAAGCTGAGAAAACATCAAGCCCTCCCCAAATCGCAGAACCATGAGCAAACAATTATCTGTTGCTGTTTTAAACCACTAAGTTTTGAGATGGTTTGTTATGCAGCAAGAGATAGGTAAAAACACTTCTTCCCACCAGGCAGGATGGCTGACGCCTGTAATTCCAGCACTTTTGGAGGCTGAGGAGGGCAGATCACCTAGGGTCAGAAGTTCAAGACCAGCCTGACCAACATGGCAAAACCCTTTCTCTACTCAAAATACAAAAATTAGCTGGGCGTGGTGGCACACACCTGTAATCCCAGCTACTTGGAGGCTGATGCAGGAGAATCGCTTGAAGCTGGGAGGCAGAGGTTGCAGTGAGCTGAGATCACGCCACTGCACTCTAGCCTAGGATACAGAGTGAGACTCCGTCTCAAAAAAAAAAAAAAAGTTTCTTCCCACACTGTGAATTGACTGGTAAATTTGTACTACAATTTTATATTGGTACGCAAATCTTTAAGGACTAAATGACATTACAGAAAGACAAGATGCTAGGAAAGATTCTAAGTGCTTTGATTAAGCACGCCTTAAGAACATGTCATCCAAGCTACATGTCCTTAAGGATTGCTTAATCAAAGCACTTAGAATCTCCCTGAGCTAAATATTGCTAAATAGCAATAATAATTTGCCCTTTCTACCGCATGACATTGTTGTGAGGATCAAGAGAGATAATGTTTGAGCACTTTATAAAACATAAAATGCCATAAAAGTATAAGGTATCCTTATTATGTCATCACTGCACAATGCTCCTTTAACCAGAGGATTAAATCAAAAGGGCTGTTATTTCTGGAGTGTCAGCTAGAAATTCTGCTTTAAGATAGGGGAATAAAAATGTTCTACTTCCATTTTCCTTTTGAAAATCATCACAAAACAACTGAATAAACAAGAAATAAAAGCAAAAGGCTCAACTTTTTATTAATTAGTGGACATCTGTAATTCTAAACACAATGAATGAAAATGGGAAAATATCTAGAAGGATGATGTTATGGGTTCAATTGTGTCCCACCAAAAAGATATTTTGAAGTCCTCACTCCCAGAAGAATGTGACCTTCTTTGGAAACTGGGACTTTCCAGAGGTGATCAAACTAAAATGAGGCAATTAGGGGGATGCTAATAGAAAAGTGAAATTTGGACACAGAGATAGACATGCACAGAGGGAACACAGAAGAAGACAATGCTGTTTGTTTTTCTTGAGACAGAGTCTCACTCTGTTGCTCAGGTGAAGTATAGTGGTGCAATCTTGGCTCACTGCAACCTCTGCCTCCCAGGTTCAAGTGATTCTCCTGCTTCAGCCTCCTGAGTAGGTGGGATTACAGGTGTGCACATTCCATCACGCCCGGCTAATTCTTGTATTTTTAGTAAAGACAGGGTTTCACCATGTTGGCTGGATGGTCTCCAACTCTTCACCTCAAGTGATCTACCTACCTTGGCCTCCTAAAGTGTTGAGATTACAGGCATGAGCCACTGTGCCTGGCCAGAAGGCGATAATGTTTGACACACAGGAAGATGGCCATGTGATGGAGTGATGTATTATAAGCCAGGGAACGTCATGAATTGCTGGTAACACCAGAACCTAGGAAGGATTCTCCAGAGCATCAGAGAGCATGGCCCTGCTGAAACTTAGACCTCAAACTTATAACCCACAGAATTATGAGACTAGAAATTTTTGTTGTTTTGAATCACTCTGTTTCTGAAATTTTGTTACAACAGCACAGGAAGCCAATACAATTGGAAAATGACAGAGTTAGAAGAAGGTCATATCTACGACCTTACAGAGTGGAATTCTTTGAAAATCAAGTAAATTCACCGTATGGAACCCCCAGAGAAGCTTAAAAACCAGAGACAACAGGCAACAAAGTAAGCAAGGGTTAAAGCTGGGCTACAAACAAGATGACTGGAAGATGATATAAAAATGAATAGGAACCCTCATACATTGATGGAGAGATTGTAAAACAGTACAATCTCTTTGCAAAACAGTTTAGCAATTCCTCAAAAAGTCAAACACAGAGGTACCACATGATCTAGCAATTTCACTTGTAAATATAAACCCAAGAGAAACAAAAATATACCATACAAAAACTTGTACACCCACATTCACAGCAGCACTGTTCACAGTAGCCAAAAAGCAGAAACAACCCAAATGACTATCAAGTGTTAAATGGATAATAAACAAGATGTGGCACCCCCAACACAAAGGATTATTACTCAGTCATATAAAAGAATGGAATGCTATTACATGCTACAACACGGATGAATCTTGAAAATATTGTGCTATTGAGGGAAGCCAATATTATAGCTGTATAACGTAGACCAAATGTTATACAATTCCTTTTATATGAAATGTCCAAAATAGGCAAATCTAGAAAGACAAAAAGTAGACTACTAGTTGCCAAGGACTTGTAGGGGGAAGGGAAACAGTATCCAATGAATGCTAGTAAGTACATGGTTTCTTTTAGGAGGAATGAAAATATTTAAAATTAGATTGTGGGCCAGGCATGGTGACTCACACCTATAATCCCAGGGCTTTGGGAGGCTGAGAAGAGCAGATCACCTGAGGTCAGGAGTTCAACACCAGCCTGACCAATGTGGTGAAACCCCATCTCCACTAAAAATACAAAAATTAGCCGGGCATAGTGGCAGGCACCTGTAATCCCAGCTACTCGGGAGGCTGAGGCAGAAGAATTGCTTGAACCCAGGAGGCGGAGGTTGCAGTGAACCAAGATGGCGCCAACGTACTCCAGCCTGGGTGACAACAGCGAAACTCCATCTCAAATAAATAAATAAATAAATATTAGCTGAGCATGGTGGTGTTTACCTACAGTACTAGCTACTTAGGAGGCTGAGGTGGGAGGATGGCTGAAGTACAGAAGTTTGAGGCTGAAGTGAGAACTATGATTGCACCACTGCCCTCCAGCCTGGGCAACAGAGACCCTGTATCTATCTATGCATCAATCTATCTATATGTCTATGTATCTATCTATCTAAATAAATAGATATTAAATCTGCACAATTTTCTTTTTCCTTTTTCTTTTATTCATTTTGTTTTAAATTGAGTGAGTTGACAGAGTTGCTGGGGAAGATTAAATATGGATGCAAATTCCTTCTTACTCTTCCCATTTGGAGGTAGAGGTGGGCAATCTCCACAACCCTTGAATCTGGGGTGACCAGTAGGAAGAGGCATAAGTGATATTCTGGACCTGTACAGCTAGGGCATAATAAGCCTTCCAGCTTTCAACTGAGTATCCTTGTTTTTGTTTTTTGACACAGGGTTTCACTCTGTCACAGGCTAGGGTGCAGTGGCACGATCATAGCTCACTGCAGCCTCAAACTCCTTGGCTCAAGTGATGCTCTTGCCTCAGCCTTCTGAGTGGCTAGGATCACAGGTGTGTGCTACCACATTTGGCTACTTTATTTTTTGTATAGACAGGGTCTCAGTATGTTGCTCAGGCTGCTCTCGAACTCTTAGGCTCAGCTGCTCTTCCTATCTTGGCCTCACAAAGTGCTGGGATTATAGGCATGAGCCACTGTTCCTGGTATCAGTCACAGGTTATCTTTGCATGCTTGCTCTAGAGGCCTGCTGCCATGCATGATAAACAGCTCTCCCAAGACCACCACAGTATGAAGAAGCCCAAGCTAGAAACATGGAGAGGCCACACAAAGCTCCAGCCACCCTAGCCTAGGTGAAACATGTGAATGAAGAAGGCTTTACAGGTCTCCAGCCATGTAGCCACCACTGAGTGCAACCGTGAGAGGAACCTTGGGTAAGAACCACCAAACTGTGCTTGCCAATCCCTAGAACCCTGAGAAATAGCTAATAATGAAGTTCTTTGAATCTGTGTTTAGGGGTAATTCACAGTAATAAGTATTTGGAAAGTTTTCGTAACTTCTAGGGTTATCAGTTCTCGGAAACAAATTGGAGAAGTCTGAAATCTTCCTCTGAACTAAAATAAATCGAATCTCCTTATATAAAGCTATTACTTTTATATTTCATAAACTTATAACGATAATAAAAAGTTTCTATTTATTGTGTACTATGTTCCAAGTGCTCTACATGGATTAGCTTACTTAAGTCTAAAAAGAGCTCTATAAGGCAGGAATTATTATTAGCCCTAATTAATCAGTATGAAAGCAGATTAACTCTCATGGCCAGTGTCCTAATAAGTGGCACTCTAAACCACTAACATTTGCAAAAGCCAATGAAATCAACATGGAAGTTATAAATGAAACAAATACTGGCAGGACTTTTCGAGAGACATTCTATATGTACAACACATTGGGAAAGATAAATACATCTCAGAATGTGTTGAAAGCATTAAAATCATGCATCACACTTCAGAAAAACAAAGGATTCTTCACCTCATCTAAATGACATGACAAAGTGTGGATATTTAGTACTCTAGGTCTATATCACTATTATTTGCCCCTGACTAAAACAGTGTCAAAACAGCAGCTGGCCAAATATAGCTTTCACTTACCAATTTCCTGCCGAGTGCTGCACACTCCAACTCCATACTCCTCTAGGACTTTGGCGGCTGCTTCTTGACATGATCCAGTATTCCGTGCAAATCCAAGATAGTTGTAGGAACCCATGTTTATAACACCTTTTATTATATTCCCTGTATACCTGTGTATCAATATCATAAAACAATGAAATTCATGGGCAAAAAATACTTAAATGTAATAGTAAATGCACTGGTAACACAAAAGGAAGCAGAGAGAACAAAGTCTATATAAAAAAATCTCAACACACTACCAGTTATGGAAATGGAAGTTAAAATAATTAATTTTCATTTATTAATAGTGATAAATAGATTTTAAAACTAATGATATCCAGTGTTGTCCAGGACCGTCACTTATCTTACAGGACGCTTTTTGTTTGTGTTTTGGAGGGTAGTTTGGCAGTACTTATCCATAAAAAAGATATATATACTCTTCAGTGATTCCCACACATGAGCATAAATACACATGAAGATCCTTTAAGAGCCACTGCACAATTTGCCACACCTGTTCCTCAGGACAGGGACCAGTGACATTCCATATGGTGGAAGCTGAGGCAGCCTCGGCCCCTAACTAAGGACAACATGGTTCAGGGGCCCCACCAACCTAGGACGAACATGAAGTATGGACAAAGATAAACTGCTACTGTTTTAATTCTCTGAAATTTTGAGAGTATTAACACAGTCCAACCTGTCACACCACGGCACATCTATACTGTAAAATACGATATAGCCACTACAAATAATAAACTTGCTGAGAATATGCACAAGAAGAGTGACACCAATATGTGAGCAAGCTAAAAAAGCAAGCTGTAAAATAATATTTTTTTTTTGAGACAGAGTTTTGCTCTTGTCACCCAGGCTGGAGTGCAGTGGTATGATCTTGGCTCACTGCAACCTCCGCCTCCCAGGTTCAAGCCATTCTCCTGCTTCAGTCTCCCGAGAAGCTGGGACTACAGACACATGCCACTATGCCCTGCTAACTTTTTGTATTTTTAGTAGAGATGGGGTTTCACCATGTTAGCCAGGATGGTCTTGACCTCCTGACCTCATAATCCACCCGCCTCAGCCTCCCAAAGTGCTGGGATTAGAGGCGTGAGCCACTGTGCCAGGCCAATTCCATAATGGGAAAATAACTACCTGCGTGTAACCCCAGTAGATACACTGTAAACATATCCCCACAGAAAGGATCTTGAGAAATAATACAAAATAAAGTGGTAACAGTCACCTCCAAGGAGTGAAGCAGGATTTGCAATAGTGTGGATGTGCAGAGGAACACATCATGGGAACTAACAGCTTATCTGCATTATTTATTTTTTATAATGGCAATTTAATCATGTAATACTTGTCCAATCGAAACAATACAATGTTAAGGCCAGGCACAATGGCTCACATCTGTAATCCCAGAACTTTGGGAAGCCAAAGTGGGCATATATCACTTGAGGCCAGGAGTTCGAGACCAGCCTGGCCAACATGGTGAAACCTCATCTCTACTAAAAATACAAAAGGCAGCTGGGTGTGGTGGTGCATCCTTGTAGTCCCAGCTACTAGGGAGGCTGAGGTGGGAGAATCACTTGAACTTGGGAGGTGGAGGTTGCAGTGAGCCAAGATCGTGATATGGCACTCCAGCCTGGGCAATAAATTAAGACTCTATCTCAAAAATATAAATAAATATATAATATAATGTTAAAAACAAAAAGTTTTCCAAACGACTCAGTTCATTTAAATAGAAACAATCCACATATCATCCTTAAATCATTTGAGAAATCAAAATAGCCAGAAATAAATTCCGATACTTGATTCTGTTAAGTGACATAATGGAAAGGACAGCTTTTCTTTTTTCTTTTTTTAAAAAGTAAGACCAAAAATAAAATGGACTAGACTTTTGTATACTGTTTCTTATCAATAGGAGTTATTTTAAAAAAATAAATAAGCCAGGCCTGGCACAGTGGCTCACACCTGTAATCCCAGCACTTTGGGAGGCTGAGGGGGGCAGATCACTTGAGGTCAGGTGTTCAAGACAGCCTGACCAACATGGTGAAACCCCATCTCTCCTAAAAATACAAAAGTAGTCAGGCATGATGGTGCATTTGTGTAGTCCTAGCTATTCAGGAGGCTGAGGCAGGAGAATTGCTTGAACCTGGGAGGCGGAGGTTGCAGTGAGCCAAGATCACACCACTGTACTCCAGCCTGGGCAACAGAGCGAAACTCTGTCTCAATAAATAAATAAATAAGCCAAATTTTGTTCTGAACTATAATCTAACACAATATCAAACACAATAGGAAACCAATCATATTGTATAGTATCCTCAGCTGCTACTCCTATTTTGAGATTTTCTCAAATGAAGAAATGCTTTTGTTGTTGTTGTCAAGAAATAATTTCCCAACCAAGACTCACTTGAAGGACCAATTATAATCATGAGATTGTCTCTCCATGATGTCCACCCTGGCTCCAGGCACACTACAGATTGGCCGATTCCAGTTGTCTCTTATCCTCATGTAGAGGTTCCTTGTATAAAAGTTTTCAAAATCTTGATACAATGACACAAAGTCCTGCCAAGAAATGGTGACATACAATAAATTTAGTTACTTTATTATAATTTTTTTAACAGATGACATGACTTTTTTATTGACATAAATTTATGGGGTACAAGTGCAATGTCATTACATGCAAGATTGTGTAATGGACAAGTCAGGGCTTTTAGGTTATCAATCATTCAAATAACACACTGTACCTATTAAGTAATTTCTCATCATCCACCCTCACTCCTTCACCCTTCCTAGTCTCCACTGAGTTACTTTAAAAACTAACTTTACAACTTCCATTTTCATACTGTTAAAAGCACCTGAGAATGAGAGGCCACTTATATTTAATTAACTGCTAAATCAGGACAGGCTTGGTGGCTCACGCCTATAATCCCAGAACTTTAGAAAGCCAGTGCAGGAGTTGCTTGAGCCTAGGAGTTAGAGACAGCCTAGGCAACATAGCAAGACTGTGTCTCAACAAAAACATTAAAAAAATTAGTCAGGTGCAGTGTAGCTGTAGTCCCAGATACTCTGGAAGCGAGGCAGGAGGATCCTGTGAGCTCAGGAGATTTGGGCTGCAGCAAGCTATGACGGCACCACTGTACTCCGGGTTGGATAACAGACACCCTATCTCAAAACAAAATCAAAAACCCTGAGGTATCGGGGAAACATCTGGAAAGACATCAATTCTCTACGTTCATTTTAATACAACTCATATCAGATAAAAGTCACTTAACTTTGATAGCTGACATATATTACATGGTTTCCAATAACTGATTTCATGAATGTAGAGCAAACAAATTTAAATTAATAAAGTAGGCCTCATAAAAATAATATGTAGTTGTACAATTCTGCCATTAAATAGTTTCCCTTCCTAATAATCTCAAAAAGACAGCTCTTCCTGCCCCACAAACCTCCCCACTTTAATAGATTAGGGGAAATGCCATAAAAACCACTATAATTCTAATTTCAACTAGGAAAAATAATTACAAAATTAAGATTCCATCCATTGCATATTTTCAATGATCAAAATGAAACAAATCCAAAGAGAAAATGATAAACAAGAAATACTACAAAATAGGCTATAGGCGCCAGGTGTGGGGGCTCATGACTGTATCTCAGCACTTGTGGAGGCCGAGGCTGGTGGGTGGGCAGATCACTTGAAGTCTCAGGAGTTCAAGACCAGCCTGGCCAATATGGCAAAACCCTGACTCCACTAAAAATATAAAAATTAGCTGGGCATGGTGCCATGTCCCTGTAATTTCAGCTACTCAGTGGGGGCTGAGGAAGGAAAATTGCTTCAACCTGGGAGGTGGAGGTTGCAGTGGGCGGTGGTCACTGCACTCTAGCCTGGGCAATAGAATGAGACTCTGTCTCAAAAACAAAAAGAGGCAACAGAGGTTTATAGGAAACTACCCACCTTAGGTTATTTTCCCTTTAGAAAGGAATTTTTTTAAAAAAGAGTCCAAGTACAATGGTTCATGCCTGTAATCCCAGTACTTTGCAAAGCTAAGGTGGAAGGACTGCTTGTGGCCAGGAATCTGAATAACAGTGAGCTATGACTGCACTACTGCACTCCAGTCTGTGCAACAGAGTAAGAACCTGTCTCCGGCCGGGCGCAGTGGCTCACGCCTATAATCCCAGCACTTTGGGAGGCCGAGGCAGGTGGATCACAAGGTCAAGAGATCGAGACCATCCTGGTCAACAAGGTGAAACCCTGTCTCTACTAAAAAATACAAAAATTTGCTGGGCACGGTGGTGCGTGCCTGTAGTCCCAGCTACTCAGGAGGCTGAGGCAGGAGAATTGCTTGAACCCAAGAGGCGGAGGTTGCGGTGAGCCGAGATCATGCCATTGCACTTCAGTCTGGGTAACGACAGCGAAACTCCGTCTCAAAAAAAAAAAAAAAAAGAACCTGTCTCAAAAACGAAAGAAGGCAGGACACAGTGGCTCATACCTGTAATCCCAACACCTGGGAGGCTAAGGTGGGAGGATCACTTGGGCCCAAGAGGTCAAGAGCAGCCTGGGCAACATAGTGGGACTCTAAAAATTTTCAAGAGGGGAGGGGAGGGGAGGAAAGAGAAGAGAAATTCCCAAAGTGAATTCCCATGCTCAGGAACTTAAAGGCTCCCTTCCTCTGAGAGCTTAAGTTGTACTAAAACTTAATTCTGTAAAAAAAATCAAGTCACAGTGGAGTGGAAATGCTATGTCTGGTGTGGTATGACCACTACTCAGAACACATGTGAGCAGACCACATGAGATCTACTTAAACTTTTGAATGCAAAGGTTAAACCAAACCACAAGAAAACGAAACTACAGTTTTACTGCATCAGCCAACCACTGAGTTTATCGCCATCAGATCTGGGCTTGATGCCAATATAAATTAATCTGTTAACTAAATTAGTCAAAAACATTAAAAAAGCGTAAGTCTTATTCTGTAAAAGATTTTCATTGCTAAAGAAGACTACCATGTAACTCTAAAATTAACAACTTTCTATGACACTGGACTCTCAAGTGCCTTCTAAATGAGCCTCACAGTAGATAAATCTCCTTATAAATAAGGCTGAGGAAAATCAGAAGCTACTCTAAGAATCTGTAGTACCTGATACTATCTCTCTCTCTCTTTTTTTTTTTGAGGCCGAGTTTTGCTCTTGTTGCCCAGGATGCAGTGCAATGGCGTGATCTCAGCTTACTCCACCTCCCAGGTTCAAGCAATTCTCTTGCCTCAACCTCCCAAGTAGCTGGGATTACAGGTGCCCGCCAACACTCCCAGCCACTTTTTGTATTTTTAGTAGAGACGGGGTTTCACTATGTTGGCCAGGTTGGTCTCGAACTCCTGACCTCAGGTAATCCACCTTTCTTGGCTGGTATTACAGGCATGAGCCATTACACCTGGCCCCCATCCCTCTTACAATTGGTGCTAATACCACTCCTCGGGACAGAAAATATCCATAAATAACATGTCTATCACAATCGCAAATTTCCCATTTAAATGGTATGTCCATTTTGATAGTCTCCTCTTCCAACAAGTATACTGGTTGAATGAAAATAGGAATAGAGACATCCAATTCTAATTAAAACTTTTAATTTGGCTGTTATTACCCATGCATTTATTTCCCAAAGGAAAAAACAAAAAGTAGTCTTAAATCCTTTTAATTCACATCAAAAAGAATAACAGTACTAACTCTTCTAATGAAGGAAACGACAGTATTGATGATCTCATTTCTTTTTTTTTTCTGGACTGCTCAGCAGGACTTTTTTTTTTTGAGGCAGAGTCTCACTCTGTCACCCAGGCTGGAGTGCAATGGTACGATCTCAGCTCACTGCAACCTCTGCTTCCTGTGTTCAAGAAATTCTCCTGACTCTGACTCCCAAGTAGCTGAGATTACAGGTGCCCGCCACCACGCCCGGCTAATCTCTGCATTTTTTAGTGGAGACAGGGTTTCACCATGTCAGTCAGGCTGGTCTCGAACTCCTGACCTCAAATGATCCTCCTGCCTCAGCCTCTCAAAGTACTGGGATTACAGGCATGAGCCACTGCTCCCAGCCAATCTCATTTCTTTATAACCTTTCTAAACACTTCACATTAATGTTCAAAGTATTAACTCCAATATTAAGAGAAATATTTCCTTACAGATTCTTATTTGCTCTTGTTGCCCAGGATGCAGTACAATGGCGTGATCTCAGCTTACTACAACCTCCTGCCTCAACCTCCCAAGTAGCTGAAATTACATTTTTCTGTTTTGATTATATGAAACAGAAAAACCTCAGAGTCTGCTCCAGATACCAGAGATAGAAAAGGCTGCAGGCCAGAATGAGGTAGAGCTTCACCCCTCAGCCTTGCTAAAAACAAAGAAAGCCAGAGGCACAGCTGTCTAGGGTTAGGGTTAAGAAGGAAAGAATGAGTTCCAATTTCCTGAACAATGAATTGTGCCTGCCATGGTCAGACATCTCCACCTCCCCATAACAAATGATTAAGTCCCTGAGACAGGAACACACTAGCACAGGGTAAAGGAGGAGAAGCTGTCACAATGAGGAACGTTAGAGACCAAAAGCATGTGGGATAGAATGGTAGGAGAGAGGGACTCTTGGCAGAAGTCTCAGTTCCCCTTTACTCCTTAGCTAATCTCCAGAGTAGCAGCTCTGATTTCAGTTAGTAGGTTCAGCAGAAAGATTTGATGGGTATGGCTGGGAGCAGTGGCTCACGCTGTAATCCTAGCACTTTGGGAGGCCAAGGTTGGTGGATTGCTTGAGCCCAAGAGTTTGAGACCAGCTGGGCAATTTAGTGAAACTCTGTCACTACAAAAAATACAAAAATTAGCCAGGTGTGGTGGCACCTGCCTGTAGTCCCAGCTACTCAGGAGGTGGGAGGATCACTTGAGCTCAGGAGGTTGAGGATGTGTAGGTGAGCCAAGATCATACCACTGTACTTCAACCTGGGCAACAGAGTGAGACAGTGTCTCAAAATAATAATAATTTTTAAAAAAGATGTGAAGGGCAGCAAACCAAACTCCCTGCAACCTAGCCAAGAAAAAAATGAGGGGAGGGGTCACAACTGGTAGTTCCAGTTCTAGGCAATGAGAGCGTGTTTCCAAAAATACCAGGCTAACTTTAGACAGTCTAAGACCACAGTTAAACTAGGGAGTAATCTTTTCATTTATTCATTCAAATATATTTTAGTGAATATTCAATACATATCGGATTATAAACTAAACTTCCAGGATACACGTCTCAGCTCACTGCAACCTCCGGCTCCCGGGTTCAAGAGATTCTCCTGCCTCAGCCTCCCAAGTAGCGGGGATTACAGGCATGCACCACCATGCCTGGATAATTTTGTATTTTTCAGTAGAGACAGGGTTTCTCTATGTTGATCAGATTGGTCTTGAACTCCCAACCTCAGGTGATCTGGCCACTTCAGCCTCCTAAAGTGCTGGGATTATAGGCATGAGCCACTGTGCCTGGCCCAATTGGAAATACTTTGACAGCATTCAAAGCACTTCAAGACCACTGTGCTATTGGCCTTCCCATT